AAGTATTCAAAGTGAATGGAGTATCTTATCTATTACTTGATATGATGTTTCTGAATTTCAATGGCTCTTAAAAAATATTATATGATGCAAAAATATTTAAACAAAATGTCATGAAGTATATAATGGTGAATTGGAGATGATAAACCTAATTACAATTTTTAAAAGATGAAAACAAATTTCAAGTTGTTTAAAAAATTCCCTTTCCTTATTCTTTAGACAGTTTATTAAAAATGACTTTTATTGAAATAACAATCTTAACAATCAAATGTATAAAGAAAATTTTAAAAAATAGCAAACTAAAGTGACATTCAAAAATTAATTTTTTTACAAAAAAAAAAAAAAAAAAANAAAAAAAAAAAAAAAAAAAAAAAAAAAAAAAAAAAAAAATATTTTATTTACCTTTAGAATTTTTAACCCTATTTTATTATTTACTATTTTTCAAAGATGGAATCAAATCTTTATGACGGAAATTTTTAATCGATGGAAAAATTTGAATTGTTCTCTTTGTTTAGTTTATACAAAATGATATTTTTATGTTTGTTTGCACTCAAAATTCGCTAAACTCTTTATAAGTACTAAACCAAATTGCAGGTGTTAAATCTTAAGATTTTCTCTTAGCACAAAGTTATTCTAATTGAGATTATAATAAGTAATAAGACTTTTCAGCAACTAGCACAAGAATCTGATAATTTGAAGTAAATTAACTCAAAATGCTTACATTGGCTATTTTAAAAATGTTTATATTAACTTTTTTGCAAAATGTTTATATAAACTTTTTTGCAAAATGTTTATATTAGCTATTTTAAAAACCTTAAAGATTTTTGAAATTCATGTAAATGAATTTTAAGCACAAAGACTTAAGGGGGAAAAAAAGAAAAAAAAACTCCACAAATCCTGAAGCGTTTTTGCACCAAATTCTACAGCTTTTGTGAAGAAAATCTAAATGAATCTCCCTTAAGCTTTTTTAAAGGAAAAAAACAGTTAATTTAAGATGATTTTATTTACTTTTATGTTAATTTAAATGCAAAACTAGTGAAATACTTTTAAAAGTATTAGACAAAACTCAAATTATAAAATTGCAAAATTTGCTCACAGTAAGAAATAATACAGATTGAGATTTTTAACAAGTAATAACATTTTTAAGCAACTAATACAAGATTTAAAATAAACTAAAGTAATTTAAAGTGAATAAATTTAAAATGTTTAGATTAACTATTTTTCAAAATGCTTGAATCAACTATTCTTCATAATGTTTATTTTAACTATTTTAAAAATCTTTTGGAATTTTTGAAATTCATGTAACAAAATAATTTAGCTCCAAGATTTAATGAAAAATAAAAACACTAAAAAACCTTAAGCGTATTAACATAAAGTTTCACAGTTTTCATTAAGGCAAACTAAAGGAATTTTCCTAAAGCTTTTTCAAAGGGAAAAAAACTTAACAAAATCTTTACTTTTATTTAATAAAAACTGCAGAATTTTAAAACAAAATGCTTAATGATTTCTAGAATTTTTTTAAAATTTTGTGAAAGCTTTTTTACTTGGGAAGTACAAAATCTTAAATTTAATTTTATTAATAAAATTAGCTAGAAAAATAGGCAAATGTTACTCAGAAAACCGAGTTTCTATTTCATTACTCATATTTTTATTTATAGCTAAGTAATTTGCAAGTTGAAAAAAATAATAGGCACCAGAGATAGATAATACTTTTACTGAAATAATATAACAAAACGTAAAACAAAACAAAAATCGTTAATCGTAATACAAACCAATATCTTTATTTTTAAAGTTTTCAATTATGCCAGAGCTTTCAGGTATAACAGTATCTTTTAAAGCTCGTTCCAAAATTAGACCATCACATTCAGCATTTCCTTCTTCTCTTAGGACTTCATCACAGTTCACATCATGATCAGAAGTAGACTGTTGTACAAAAAACTTTTTTAAAGCAGGTGTTGAGTTTAAAGTGCCAGTGTGCCCTTAAAAATTTAAATTTATTCAAAATGTACATTTTAAAATATAAATACAAATATACATATGAACACAATATAGTTGAGCCCAGATATATGCCAATTAGAGGGTAAATTAATAATAGTAGTTTTATTTGCATTTGTAAATAAATGATCAAGCAGAATATTTTAATACAAATTTAATGGTTTTTGAAACATAATAAAACTAATTTTCATTTCACTGAATTCACAGCTAAATATAGTGATGTGCTTTTTTTTTATTCCCTTAAACAATTTTATATTTAAAAGCAGCATAGCATTACAGTTTAAAATTTTTCAAGCTGTTTTGAACAATAATTATTGCAATACTTACAGTAAAATATGAATTACTACTTTTTTTTTAATGTAGCAAATTCTTTATTAAAATTGCATAAATAAATGAAAAATCCTTCACTTTTATACAAAACTTAACTTTTAAATGGAGTCCAGAGAATTTTGTGAAAAATAAATTCAATCTAAGCATATTATGCAAGGCAGTACAGAAATGTATCATCATCAAAAGTATCAGGAAATATAAGAATGATCTTCCAAAAAAGCTTAGGGCAACATTAAGTATAGCGGCGAAAGATATCTATGCTTTGAAACATTTACAAAATCAGAAAAATCCTTCAACAGTTTCATAATCAATACAGATGTAAGGTTAAAAAAGAAAACAATTATAGAGAAAATGTAGCACAAAAGAAATTTAGTTTTACTATAATACAAATCCTGAATTATGTCATGCAATTGAACGAACAAAAAGCGTAAGTGCCCAAGAGAAAAGCATATCAATTGATCTGATCGAAGGTGAGAATTTCCAGAAAATGTCTCATAAGCAGAACCAAACTAAATGATTGCTGCAGCAACTACTGCAAATGTTTTCAAAATTGTTATACTTTGGCCTTTCATTTTAGTTCCTTAATTTTTGAAGCATTAATCATCTATACATCTGTGTGTGCATAAAACACATTGAAAATTATTAAAATAATAATAATTTTTAAAAAATAGCCAACCGTAGAAAAAAAGATTTAACTGAACAACATTTGAAATATACGGCTTATATTGTAGCAACTTACCTTCAGAAATATTCTTGTGTTTCCCCTTATTTTGAAGAAATTTCAATAGTTTTGGATCTTTTAAAAAACAAATAAAACATTTTAATAATTACAGCAACAGTTCCCGATTTTCATGCAAGCAATCAATAAATGAAATTTTAAAAAAATATGCGTTAGAACTCTTACCATATTGACTTTTAATTTGTTCCACTTTTTTCTTAATTTCTTCAGGTGACATAGCTGATATAATTCCCTGGTTCTCTTTGTCAACTTCCATTTTGATGGCTTTAACATCAACTGTATTTTCTGTTGTGCTGTCTAAGATAAAAATTAAATAAAATACACAAATGGGTCTAATAAATATGTATTGATATATTTTTAGCAGCATTTAAAAAATGGTGCATATTAAAGACCAGTTTCTTTTTTTTGAATATATCACAATCTAAATTATTCTGTCTCCAAGCTCTTACAACCAACATGTTGTTCCAACTGTTCCACAGTTGCAGAGCAATTAAAAAGAGATTAAATTCAAATTTATTAAAAAGAAAAAAATATGAAAGCAACAAGATAATTTTTTTTTAAAACAATAAATATAGCTTTAATCCATTTAGTTACAAAAAGATTAAATTTAGTAGCTGCTTTTTATAAATAATAAAACATGGGTTGTCTCAACATTATATTTTAATAGTTATTATTATTATTCTTTTTTTAAAAAAAATGCAGACCTTTACAATTTTAAAAAAATAATAATAAAAATAATAAAAAAATAAGAATAAAAAAACCAAGATTTGCATTATTCTTATGAAAACTAATTATAAGGTACCCTAAGTTAGAAATCAACTTTAAGAATAAAAAACTTCCGACAATTTCGATGTTGAAAACGAAATGGTTTTTAAGAATATTTATTAGTTGATCAACATCTAACACAATATTTATGACAGCCTTTTTTTTAGTCAAAGTCAAATGACTTTGATAAGTTAAATTTTTGTAATTTCAAAAAATTTTATAAAACAGTTACATGGCATAGGGCAACATAAAAATAATAAGCGATGGAAACGAACAATTTCTTAATTTGAAACCATGGTTTTAAAAATTCTTAATCAAAGGATATTTCATAGAGCAACACTATTGGAATACCTTGCGTAATAATTTATTTATGATCGATCCATAGTGAACTTTACTTTATAAACGTTAAAATAAACTCACTGTTACCTACTTAAAAACATAATATTTAAAAGAAAAATTAACAAGCTTGGTTGGACACGAATTTTAACTATTTTATTTTTGTTATTTTAAGTAATTTCTAATGTTATTTCTTTCCTACTTTCCTTCTGTACTGGTCATGTTTTTATTCTGCTGTATATGCTTCTGTATTTTAATTGTATTTTAAATTGTATTCTACTTTGTTTTGTTTTTTTGTATTTTACACATTCTTTTCCTGGACTATGGCAAAACTTTTGTGGTACAGAGAAAGCAATTTTTTGACTTTTTCTCTTGGCTTTCTCGATAAAAAACGTTTTGCATTTATGACATCCAAAGCTGGTACCCCCTGACGAAGTCAGCTTTGGCTGTCATATTTTTGCAATATTTTTTAACATTTTTTTTCATTGTCTTATTTGTTTAATTCATCTTGGTTTTACTGCTGCTTAGTGCATTTTCCAATTTGGATGTATTATTATTACTCATTTTAATTGCTTTAATATTTTGAATTTTTTCTTAATTTACAGGAAGAAACAAACTTGCGTACGGTCAAACTAATTTTTTCTCCTTATTTCTCGCAAGTACAAAAAAGTTTTTTGCCTTGAGAATGGTAGTTGGTATGAACGAAAATAATAGGGAAATAAACTCAGATAAATTACATTAATAAAAAATATTTTAATAACATATATTTAAATACGAACTTAAAACTATAAATGAAAAAAAAAATATATCAGAACCACTTCAATATTTATATACTCACTAAATGAACTAGTTGGTTTTGACAGATTTTGTTCTTTTGATGCAATTTCTTTAGAATAATTATGTTGCTCTTTTCTTTTAGCTGCAAACTGAAAAAAAAAATAGATAAATACGCTATGTAATATACAGTGTATACAATAAGTATACCATATGCAAAATAAGGCTTTTTTAAATGTTGTTGTAGTTCATTTAACGTTTGGTGACATTAGAAATAGATGGAAATAATAGTCTACAAATTTTGATATTTTTTATTATCTGCTTATCCCTGAAAAAAAGAAAGGCCCACTTCAATGCTAGACATCTCGACAGTTGTGCATCCTAATTTGACAAAATAGTTACTGCTAATTTAATTTCAAACTAATTAAAGATCAAACAAAATAACTTATATAAAATTGAGTATTTCATCTATACATTTAACACAATAATATAATTGAAAAACAAACTATTCGAATCAAAAACTTCCGTAACCTAGTAGATTAAAATTAACATAAAAAGTTCAATGTAGTCATAGTCATATCAGAAAGGAGAAATCCAAGAAGAAATGGCTAAATGAGTTTTGGCAAAAGTAAAGCACCCACCAATATTTAAATTTCAAAATTAATTGGCGGAGAAATAAAACACCAAAAGACAAGAATAATTTATTATGGTGATTAAAGCAATTAAGGAAAAAGGGGATTTAAAAATAGAATTTGACATCCAATTATTGAGTGACATTAAATAATAATCTGTTAATTGTTCTATTTATTATGAAAAGGTAGAGAGAATTAAATTACAAAAATACAGGATATATTTTTTTTTCTTTTACATACTTTAATTTCATAATAACTGTCTATTATATGGGTGGTCAACCATCTAATCATTAAATGCAATTCAAAAGTTCTATTCTTCATAACTTTATTCAGAAAAACAATTTCATAGAGCTCTACAAAAAATAATTGAGAAAAATTTACTTTGCTCAGGCTTGACTTTTTTTCTAATGTGTTAAAAATATCTTCAGGAGACACAGATGGCAATTGAAAGACAAATGGCTCATTTGATAAAGGACGCTCCTAAAATAAATCAGGAAAAATAAGTTAGTACTTAAAAAGTTAGCAAAAGTCACAGTTAATGGATTACTCAAACATTTCATAATTCTACATACATAATAAACATGAACACTCTTTAATTACTTATCTAGTTATTAGTGTAATTGCCACAAAAATTACAGTATAAAATGAAAATAAGTTTATATAAGATTTCAATGAATATAAGATTTCTCCTCTAGAAAAAAAACTCTAAGTAAAAAAAAAAAATACTCAGTTCTATAAGCATGTGACACAAATTTAATATAAACAATGTTTCAAAAGTAAGCTTTAGAACTTTAGATTATTAACAAAATGTCTACTTTTACACTAAATTGTAGAAAATGCTAAATTATCTTTTTAAATTTTGAATTCTAAATAAATTCTATAAAAGCTTAAAATACCACCGTGTATAGAAGTTTTTTTTCCCATTTTCATACAAACGCAATTAGTATTTACAAGTTACAAATACTAAAATTTCAATTTAGTTTCTGTATTGTTAGTAATTACTAAAAAGTTTTTCCATGCTTGCAGAAGAAATGCCTACAGTGACAACAAAACATTTTATTTTTGATGGATGAAGTACTAAGATTTAGTATAAAATACTGTTGTTCTTCTTAAGATACAAATAGATATAGCAAAGAAATTAAATATTTATGTATCGTTCTTAGATACATCTTAATGTATGAGAACAATTAATTATATGTTACACACTTTTAAAAAATATGTTTATGGGGGAATACACGGTAAAATGTTATTTAATCAAGAATTTAATTAGTAAGGCAATCAGGTTCTGTTTTATAGTTAAATGCATTGTTAAATTTTCCTTCTATAAGCTCACTTTTATTTCTTTTTGATGCTAGAGATACTTTACACAAATTACGCACTAATATTAACAATTTTCAAGAAGAAGAAAAACTTATGGAAACAGAATTTGATCATAATTAAAATATAAATAGCCTCGGCGAACATTAATAGGAACCAATTTATTTATCTGTATACTGATAAAAACTAACTTTTATAAGCATTAAGGCAATTTTTTTTAAATGTGTTTAAACTATAATGCATGAAGAAACAAAATTTTTCTAACAAAAATTATAATTAAATAAAAATATTAAGAAGAAAAACTGACCTGAACATCAAAAATGAATTCTTCTTGATGAACAACTAAAAAAATAAATAAACAAAATTTGAAGAAAGTATAAGCACAAAGCTTTCAAATAACATCCACAAAAAAAAAATCTAAAAATTTAGATGAGTAAAAACATACATTAAAGGAAATGATATGAAAGCAAAGAGATATTTAGTCACATTTCAATAAGTCACAATCATATATCTAATTGATAACATATTGAATTAATAACATGAATTTTAAAAAGATGAAAGAGAATTCATAAAAGTGGTTAATTGTATTAATTTCTTATCATAGACAGTCCTGTACAATATACACGAACATTAGCATTAGCGAAAAATTTGTCAACATCACTTAAATTTTTTTATTATTACAAAAAAATAAATAAATAATGTGCCCCTTCAAAGAAAGTTTGCATTTTTCGAATTACCGAGAAAAAAAATTTGTTTTCATGCTTTTTTTTTCCAATGCAAGCGCGATTTAAAACTACATTCACAATTTCAAATCACACAACAAGATTCCCACTTATGCGATTTAAGATCACTCATTGTGTTTTGTATTTTCACAATTTTATATCAAATACCGCGCTTCATATTCACATGATTTAAAAGCCACAGTTAGGATTCGTGTTCAAGTGACTACAAAATTTTACATCGGAAATTATATTTGCATTATTTTTAAATGAACGACTAAAATTTATATTCACGTGATGTTAAAATCAAACAACGAGATTCATACTCACACATTGCTACAATCAAATATCGGGATTCTTATTTACACGATTTTAAGATCAAACATCGAGAGTTGTATTATCGCTGTTTTTAAATAAAATACTGAGATTCGTATTTAAGCCATTTTAAAATTAAATGTCAAGATTCGCATTCACATGATATAAAAATCACACATTAAGAATTCATATTCGCACAATTTAAATAAATTCCTGGATCAATATTTTTATTAACACATTGACAACATTCTGTGGATAAGTGTTTCCTACATACTCTTATTGCAATTTTTTTTTTTTAAATTTCAAAATGTTTTTGCACATAACATTATAAGATTTTTATTACCAAATTCATCTCTGTGGTATGAGTCAGTATAGGAGTTCTATAAAACATTTTGTGGATGTTTTTTATAAATACTTTTTTCCCCTTGAATTTTAAGTACTTTTTCAATTATTTAAAAAGTGTTTTTGCACATAATATTTTTAGATTTTATATTTTCAGCCTTTTATCTAACTCATCCTTGTGGTATAAATCAATACAGAGTTCGATAAAAACGGAACATTTTTATAAAAATCAGAGATTTTTAAGCAAACTGCGCCAAAATGAGGTGTCAATGAAAGGATCTTAAAAATAGTAGTTACAAGTGTTAATGAATGCACTCAGAAAGTTTTTAATTGAGATTTTGTACTTGCAGAAAGTTTTTCATTTTATATAACTCTGCTCTTAGATAACAGCACTATGCAAAAAATACAAAATTGATTGAACAAGATAATGTGGAACAACTTTTTATTCTTATTTTTTAATTCCAATTTATTATAATAATCACAACAACCAGAATTATTTATTCCCCTATACTGATATTTTTTTTTTCAGTTGCTTCACAGCATTATAATCATTGGACAAAACACTTTCATTTTAGATACATAACTTTTATCTAAACCTCATCAAACAACAGTTAACTAAGGTTAATTCCCAATTATTTAAGCAGTTGCCTTCGTCCTCCTCCTTCAACAATTTGCTGTGATGACTCAGTGCCTCAACTTTCTAGACTTATTCCTCATATTCTCCAAAGTATTTGAATTAGAAAGCAATAAAGGTGCAAAGCCTCCTTTTCGTGACAGACAGAAATTTAATTATTACTAACTTGTTAAACATTGCCCCAAAATTAGTTGTGACCAGACACACATTCTACACCAGTATCACCAGTTTTAAGAAAGTAATAGCGTTTAGATTGCCTTTTTGGTATAGAAATTACTTTTTCTATTTTTATTTTAATCTCACAGAGATATTGTCTTTTTTGTAAACAACAAGGGTTTTCATGATTAGTGTAGCAGTATTTAAAATATAAAAGTGATGTAAAGTAAGTTTTGAAATAAAATATTTCCGCATTTGAAAAGAAAACATAAATAAAAAAGTAAGTCACAGCAATACAGAATATTCAAGAAAAATACAATAGTTAGATTTCTATAATTAGTGAAAGAAAATAGTTCATTCACAGAATTCACTATGATAATCTGAAAATTTCCTATTTTCAGAAATAAATATGAAATAATTCTTCAAAAAATTAAGGTTTCACGGCATATTTTTAAAACAGAATTTACAAAGAATAGAACAAAAATTTATTTGTTGAAAAGAAGAAAAAAAATGTAGCAAAAATATTAAGACAGATGATCACCAAAAGGAAGTGCTGAGGAATACAACAAGAAAGTAGATTAAAGGGACAATATAAAATTACATACTAAGATCACACATATAAATTCTAAAATAGTGTCTTAGTTTCAATATGATTTGGATATTTCATTAAATAATCTATAGTTTACAAAAATAAAGTAGCTTTAACCTTAAAATTTAAAAAAAGGAAAAAACACAACCACTTTATTTTCACTCTTTACACAGAAACTATATAAATATTACTCAATGTTTACAAACATTAAAGCCTTTTATGCATTTAGATAAAAAATAAATAAATTGCAAAACTCTTGATCTACTTTTAATAGAATTATCATTTTAATCTAACCTAAAACAGGTTTTTCTGGAATGTCACTCTTGTTTTCAGACGATATTGAAACATTTTCAGACTGTTTAACTTCACTTTTAGCTCTTTTTTTAAGACATACAGAGGGCTCCATTTTATTTTTAAGGAAATCTTTTTGTTGTTTGAGTAAATCTTCATGCTCATTCATGGATGATCTTTTCAAATCCTATATATAATAAAAACGCACATAAAGTACACAATAGGAAAAAAAAGTTATAAAGAATTCTCCAATTTCAAACAGTTTACAACTGTACAACTTGATACATAAGAATACTTTAAAAAATCAATTTTAGTTAATCAATTGTATTTATAATAAATATTTTTTTTTGTTAATATAGTATAAAATGAGAAACTAAAGACAGATAAGATCCAGAAAAACCAGAAAGTACATTATTTCCAAATTTAAAATTACTAATTATTCTAAATTTTCAATTTTATGCATGATTACTTTTTTTTCATAAAATAATAGATATGTCTGAATTAAAAATTAAACTAAGTTTCAAATATGGCTATCACAAAACTTTTTATGTTTGTATGCTTTATTACAATAATATGGATTCCTTTAAAAACTTCTAGAGGTCTGATACACATTACTTTCAGTGTATTTATTTGTTTAGCTTTCATTTTCCATGTAGTAAAAGTATTAGTATATCAATAAGTGGCGGTATTTACAAATAAAAAAATTAGTGTTTTAATAAAAACATGCTTAGTTTAAATATGGAAATCAAAAAAGTTTGTTATTTTTTCTTGTTAAAATTGTAACAAATATTTCATTTTTATGTTTTACAAGTTTAGTAGAAGCTATTAATATATGATTGTTTCAGTGTTGAATACAGTAGTAATAATGATATATGAATTTTTAAATAAATTGTGTACAAAACAAATACTCTATTAAATATATTTATACATTGATAAAACTTCATTAATTTTACTTTTATAATTTGAAGAACTTTTTGAAATTTAAGAGGTAACAAGACAGTAGAAGCCTAAAAAAAAGTTTTTTTTAATGAATTTTACAGAGATTTTGATAAACTTTACTTAAAACATTTTTTTTATCTAACTGTACAGATTTTAATCTTTATTTCATTATATTACAAGTACAAAAATTTAAAAAACTATCACTTATATAATACAATGTTTATAGCTTATTTTTTATAATTATCAGTTGAAAAAAAATCATCAAAAATCATTTTTTTCTTAAGTAATTTAAACAAGTTATTTCAATAAAATAGTTATAATAATAGTATTTTAATAATATGTTTTAATAGGTGTAAGCAAATCCATCAATTAACTGAATGCACAAGTTCATTTATTCATACATGTCCACTTGTCCATTCCAGCATGTTCTGCATCACTCACCACACTCAATATATTGTGACAGGCATACATATATAGTCAGACATATAAACACTAGAGTACGTCTCTCTTTACCATTGCTTTCCCGCCATTGAGAAATGTCAACTTTGTGTCTGTCTGGAGAACAATATATGATACTTTGATATAAGTTTTGATAAAATCATATGCTGATACATTATCTGAAGACTTTACTAAACCATGAGCTATCATTTTAAAAAGACTACTTTCCAAAGTAAATTGACATAATATTCATTCACTATTGTATATGATTGAAGAAGTGCATGGACTGGACATGCCTTGATCTCTGAACATGAAATTGAGAAACTTTTACAAAAATTAGAATTATCTATGAATTATGTTTTGACCTGAACATGAACTAGTAGTCTATGCATAAGTCTCAGGTTTATCTCAAAAATGGGACAGAATTATTGATTATTAACAGTGGATTTGAAACTTTTAGTGTTTAACAAATTAGTGATTTTGTGACGAAGATTATTAACCGATTTATTTATATATCAGGAATGTCTAATTTACAACATCAATATACAAATAAGTGGTAAAAAAAAAATATTGATTTTGATAGAGGAGGATTGCAGGATATTCTCCTAATGCATTAGAGATACATAAAAATAAGTAGTTACTGATGAATAAAATATACAGATAAAAACTGACCTTTACATCAGATATCACTTTCTCATGATGAACATCTAGAAACAAATTAAAAATATATAAAAGCATGTAAAAAGAAATATAGATTAAAAATATTACTTAAAAAAAATACAAAATGAAGAAAAAATCTTGATATATTTAGGAAAAATATATAAAAGCATATAAAAAGAAATATAGATTCAAAATATTATTAAAAAACAAATACAAAATGAAGAAAAAATCTAGATATATTTTGGTAATATCGGTAGTGATATCTAAGTAGATTGAAAGAATTTCTTTTTCAGATAATGCATGTAAAAGGATCTTGATGTAAGATACCACAGTTCTATTATATGTGCCAGCATAAAGTAATTATTAAATCAACTATTAAATCAACAGATGACCATTTGGAGCATGAAAGCAGAGCAAGATCTTGTGCTGGTGTAGTTGTGGCTCATTATGGCTGGGGAAATATTATAGAAAACTAAATACAAAGATAAAAAAATAAAAAATTCTAATGAGAATAATAAAAAAAAAACATAGCTTGCAAAAGATTTAGTTGTGTTTAACCATGAAGATTTTACCTAAGCATCAATATACACCTTAAAAAAGTTTAATAAATATGAATAAATTAAAATAATAATACACGTTTGTGGCATTTGACAGATGAGTATTTCATTCCGTTAAAATATAGAGTGCTAGTTTTAATAATTACATAAAAGCTATGATCGACAAAGGTAGTTATAGAACAGAACCATTTCTCTCTGGAAATGAAATTTAATTTATTATAATTCACACAAAAGCAAGCATAAAATCACTCAATTCAAAGAATTGAATGATTTTATGCAATCAATTCATAGCAGCCATATTCACCTAAAACAAGGTAAAATTTTTATTTATAGTGACAGTAGTCCGACAATGCACAATTTATTATAAATATTGTTTTTTTAAGTTACAAGGGATAAGAATTAATATGAACTTTTCAAAACAGTTGCATGGCAATTTAATATTTACTGTAAAACTTTACAATTGGGGGCCCCTCTCCTTTTTCGTGATTTGCAAATAAACGAATATGTATTGTAAATAAACCAAAAACCAATCACATAAAAGTAAAAAGTTGCAGTAACCTGAAGGTGACGTCATAGAAAGCAAAGACCGCAAAGTATATCATGGTAACCAGAAATGGGATTACAACAAAACTGAATAAAAGTTATCGCCAAACCAAGGGGCCTCGATTCTACACTAGAGCCATATTTACTTTTAAAAGATTAAGTTTCATGAATAATGAAGACTATAATGCCATAGTTGCAATTTAAAGGAGAGCTGCAAGAAATAAATTCAAGTGAAAAGCTAGCTCCATGCAGAAAACCTTACCAAATGTTTAATTTTATACCACAAAAATTTATACCCTAAAAAGTAAACATTTCTTCTACTCAGTTTTTAATAAGTTTATCATGAATGACACTCAATGCAGTTCTCACCTAAATTAGTCTTTTTGTCAGAAACACCCTCTAACTCAAAAGATTTTGAACTAAATTCTGGTGGTTTTTTCAAATTTACACAGGACTTAGCTTTTTTCTTAAAGAACTCTTCTTGTTGTTTCAGCAAATCTTCATCAGATTCAGCACATGTTGGTCTTTTCAGATCCTATTCAATATAAGAACACATTTTAAAGTCACCAACAAACAGTAAAAAAAATCTCACTACTAAATAAAATGCTGCTACATTTAGTTTTAATTTATAGTTAGGATGCTATCTAGAGGCTTCAAACATTACGAAAGTTCATGGTTTAGTAACAGAACAGATATAATTCATAATGTATTTTAATACAGTAACTAAAAGTATTTAACAATATATCATGTTCCACACGATATATATATAAATTTCATATATATTTTGAAAATATTTTGTAGTCACATAAGATTGTTTTTTCTTCAAATTGTTATATTCTTTAAATAGGTACTTTCCAGCCATCTCTCTTTGAAACTAATTCTTTTCGACAAGATAATTTATTAAGTATTTATTTATTTATTTTTATGCGATCGATCTAACAAAAATATTACAAACGTATTAAGAATAAAATTCCTGATTTACTATAAGAAATGCATTAAATAATAGAACATGACCTCAAAAATTCATCTATTCAGGGAATTAAAAACTCTATGACCCGGCTTTATACCAGCAGTGTGAGCTATATCTTAACTATTGCCACCAAAACACCAAGAAATTAAAAATTAAAAAAATTTAAAAATCAATTATATAAAAAAATATTACTTCAAAATTCTAGACAAGTATCACATTAATCTAATAGAATAAATTAATAAATAGTATTAGTAAAAAAAAAATTCCTGAATAATAGAAAAAGTTATCTTTTATGATAAGTCACATTTTTTTTAAATTCTTAAAAATTTACATAATTTGCTTTGTAATATAAGCATATTTGTTTAAATTTATCTACATTAATTATTTTTAGTATCTGTACCAAAGAAAAAAAGGAAGAAAACATTTATAACTCTTTCATATTACCAGACTTCTCCCAAGAAATAAAAAACGTCAGGATGCTTCCTTGCAGAAAAGGTCACTTTGAGTTTTGAAAGGGCCCTCACTTATCACCATTGAAATTTATCCAAAATACGTAATATTATATAATGACTGAATTCGATCTTCAATTATTTGAATTACACTCTTATATTATTTTATGTGTATATTTCACAAATTTAAATAAAAAGGTAGAAACCAAAAACAAGCAAAAAAGTTGCTTATTTTTGGTTTTTAACTTTTTATTTAAATTGTTTACGCAAGAAAAATTTGNTAGTGTATTACTTCATCGTTTCTTATTCTTTTTAAGATCATTTCCAAATATTATTTTTTTTTTTAGTTGGGTTTAACAATAAAAAAAAACGGAAAAAACAGTTATCCGGAATAGTGATGGTCCCGATCGTTCCGGATAATCGGTTCCCTAGTATACATATAAATTTCATACATATTTTGAAAATACTTTGCACTCATATAAGATTGTTATCCCTTCAAATTATTATATTCTTTAAATAGGTACTTTCCAGCCATCTCTCTTTGAAACTAATCCTTTTCGACAAGAAAATTTATTAAGTATTTATTTATTTATTTTTATGTGATAGATCTAACAAAAACATCACAAATGTATTAGGAATAAAATTCATGATTTACAATAAGAAATGCATTAAATAATAGAAGATGACCTCAAAAATTCATCCATTCAGGGAATTGAAAACTCTATAACCCAGCTTTATACCAGCAGTGTGAGCTATGTCTTAACTGTGCCACCAAAACACCAAGAAATTTTAAAAAAATAATAATAATAATAAAATCAATTAAATAACAAAATATTACTTCGAAATTCTAGACAACAAGTATCACACTAATCCAATACAATAAATTAATAAATAGTATTAGAAAAAAAATTGTTTTCTGAATAATAGAGAAAGTTATCTTTTATGATAAGTTAAATTTTTTTTAATTTTTAAAAATTTACCATAATTTGCTTTGCATAAGCATATTCGTATGTATATTTGTATAATTTATCTACTTTAATTATTTTTAATATCTGTACCAAAGAAGAAAAAAAACGAAGAAAACATTTATAACTCATTCATATTACCAGAGTTCTCCCTAGAAATAAAAAAGTCAGGATGCTTCCTGGCAGAAAAGGGCACTTTGAGTTTTGAAAGGGCCCTCACTGATCACCATTGACATTTATCCAAAATACGTAATATTAAATAAAGACTGAATTTGATCTTCAATTATTCGAATTACACTCTTATATTATTTTATGTGTATATTTCGCAAATTTAAATAAAAAGGTAGAAACCAAAAACAAGCAAAAAAGTTGCTTATTTTTGGTTTTCAACTTTTTATTTAAATTGTTAATGCAAGAAAAATTTGGTTTTAGCAACTTTTAGAGCTTTTCCATTTAGACTTATTATTTAAAAAAAACAAATTTCCTCAAAATTAGCTTAAGTCAATTTTATAATTTGATTGGATTATATTTCACAATCCTTCATTATCAAAATAACAGAAAAATTTGAAGATTTTGAAACATAATTAAAGGCGAGCTAAAAGACAATCTCTGTGAATAAATTTTCTTTAAAATAAATCAACTAAAAAAAAAAGGAAAAAAATGGATGAACAACTTTAAAGCTTTTCATTAAAGCTATTTTAAACTTTAAATTATGAGAAAAAAAACATTTAAAGGTGCATTTTTAAATAAAAAGTATTCGTTTAAAAAAGTAATGGTAAAATTTAAAACTACTAAAATATTCAATCCCTCTCTCCAAATAAAAGATGTGAATACTTCTGGGGCTGAATATCTTGCAAATTTTAACTATATAACTAGACAACACAAGAAAAATCTTACTAACATGAAGGAATGAAATTAAAAAAAAAATAATTATCAATAATATAAAATAAGTTAAATAATTATTCATAACAAAACAAATCAAAAGTGGACTTTTCATGGAAACAGGTACTTAAGAAATCAACCTTTTCCTGTAAGAATAAAATAAGAATGCAATGTTTCTCAGGGAAGGTGGCTTATTTTACAAATAGGCAAGGAGGGCGCATTTATAGTGAGCAAAGGGCAGACGGGGCAGGCCGCCCTTCTAAAAGCACTTAGGGAGAATGATTACATTGAACAAATACTCTTCACATTTTTATAATTTCAACATTATGTTAATGTTGGCCCCAAACACTTTACTTGGTAGTTCGTTATCCAAAAATCTTAGTGCATCCTAGGTCCATGTACTCAATAGACAACATGAATTCTTAGAACAACCAACTTCAAAGCAATGTATTAATGTTCCAAAGCAAAGGTCTAGTAAAAAAAAATGGGACCTAAAAGAAATACTCATCTGCAGTAGACCGGACCATCAACTGATAGAACGCTTGTATCTAAACTAACTGAAAAGGTTACACAGCTTTAAAAAAAATCCAGAGCAATTAAATGTTTATTTCACTCAAAAAAGAAACATTTTATTCAAATCAAAAAATAATCTGCTAAAAATGAATAAAAATATTAATTAGTTAGGGAGTTCTTGAATATTTTTGTTTATCCTGATATATGTTTTCTTGTTTATATTTTTTTCTCTACTTTTTAACAGTTTTAGTAAACAGCAGTTTTATGATTTATATTTAAGTTGCTTCAGCGTGGAATAAAAATTATTACCAAAAAAAAAAAAAAAAAAACCTTTTTAACTGAGTTTTAAGATTAATTGATGGTCTGAAAGACCAGAGCTCACATTGATAGAGTTTACATTGAGAGTCAATTTACATTGATAGCTGCTAGATAATTTGTGGTAATAAGTCAGTGTTGTTTTGTGAGAGCTATTTTCATAAAAAAAGAGGATTCAAGTAATTACATTGAGTATATTTAGAACCATGAATTAAAAGTTTTGTTAACTATGAACCTTTCCTTAACTAATGGACAGCTGAGAAGATTTCTGCTTCAATACCTGTGCCAAAATAACCTCCAAGTTTAGATGACTTCCTAGCAGTGAGGCACAAGAAACTAAAGAAAAAGAATTACAGAGGGGGAAGGACTCATTGAGTATAACTCAAAGCTGTCCTCCGACTTACTTCTTGCAATATATTTTGTAAAAGTTTCTAACATCAGAATGCCTTGGCTTTTGTAGTGGCATGAACAGATAACAATACAAAAAATATTATTCCAATAGCTAAGTAGGAGTTCTGAAAAAAAACTAACAAAAAAAACACAAAGAGGGAAAAACTAGTAGTTGCTTTCAGACAAGCTACAGGTTCCTACACTATTTTGAGAAAACAATATCCTGACTTTTGCAGGTTTTTCCTGACCTTTTACAATAAAACTCCTTACCCGCCGTTTCCTACTCCAACAAAACTTTTAACATTGCAGTTTCAATTAGTAATAATATGCTACTTAGTCATAAGTATTATAGATTGAATAGGATAAACACTTATATATTAAAGTGGAATAGCGTAATAGCACTTTATATCCCAAATTATATTTTCAGAAAACTTGTGAAACATATTTTTAATTATCATGATTAGATTAAACTTTTAGTGTGTTTTTGTAGTTAGATACGAAAACTATTTAAATAAAAAGATAAAAAAAAATCTGTTGGATTATGGAAATATTATTTTATTTAATGTTAATTGGAACCAAATGCATGAGTGTCGTCAGGATATAAAGAGTTAATCAAATCTGTGAGATATGTATCAGTATCCTCAAATAATATTTACTCTTAAAACATACTAGAACATTTGTTACATTAAAATATTAATTTTTAAAAATCACAATTTCACTTAAAACTGACTTTTCTTTTAAAAGATAATATTGAAATATAAAGGGGAAA